GTACATTTTTTCAGATTTCATTTTATATTATTTTGTACAATCTCCAAATATATTAAATATTATAAATTTATGTATATATAGGACTTAATCTAATATATATATATATATATTATTTTTCACATAGAAAAAGAAATATAAATAGATATATATATATATATATATATTATGTTATATAGAAAGGAAAGTTAGCCAAAAAGAGAAAATATAGATACTATCATAAATTAAATACTTACGTTTTCTTTTTGTAAATATATTTTCATATGTATAAATCATTTAAAAAATAGACTATTAAGCGAGAAAAATAAAATTAAAATAAAAGTATAATGGCAGTTAGTCATAATTAAAATTATTAATGTAAATGGCCACGTTAAATTAATATAAGCACGACACATAAAATCAGCCTTCTTAAATCATATATGTTATAAGCAAAGTAAAATATTGAGTTAAAACTCTCTCATTCAATTTTAGAGTGGCTAATTACCTTTTACCCCTTTTTTATATTCTTTTTAATTAAAATTTTAATAAAAATTATTAAAAATAAAAAAGTAATAAATAATTTATTAAAAATCATAAACTAATAAAAAATATTAAAAATCGGAACTTAATAAAAAATATTTAAATAAAAATAATTATTAAAAATTGTAAAGTAATAAAAATTATTATAAATTGGAATTTAATCATATATATATATATATATATATATTATAAGCAAAGTAAAATTTTGAGTTAAAGCTCTCTCATTCAATTTTAGAGTGGCTAATTACCCTTTACCCCTTTTTATTTTTTTTTTAAATAAAATTTAATAAAAAATTATTAAAATCAAAAAGTAATAAAAAAATTATTAAAAATCGTAAACTAATAAAAAATTAAAAATCGGAATTTAATAAAAAATATTTAAATAAAAATAATTATTAAAAATTGTAAAGTAATAAAAAATTATTATAAATTGGAATTTAATCAAAAAACATTTAAATTTTAAAAAACTTATTAAAAATTAGAATATAATTAAAAAAAAAAACATTAAAATCATATCATATGCGAAGTAAAAATTTTCGCTATAAGCTCTCTTATTCAATCTAGGTGACTACTCATCATAGTAGTATATATTAAAAGCGATGTGAATTTTAGCTTTAACGACTTCTCATTCAATTTCAGCGTGGTTAATTATTTTTTTGTTTCTTACTAAAAGGTCACTAATATCCTTTAATTGGTTAAAATTAAGTTTTATTTATAATTAACTATACCAAATTTTGTTACCATTAAGTTAATATTGGATCTTTTAATGCTATAAAATTGTATGGTTTTGTATATGAAAGCCCCAAGACTCTCACTTTAGCCCTAATATCCGATTAGTCAGAGCTTCTTCTTCAACCGGTGGTTTCTGTGTTTTGACGTTTGAGTTGTATTGCTTTATTAAAATTTCGAATTAGGGTTTTTTTGTTTCAAAGCTTTGGGTCTGTGTTCATGATAAATAAGGAGGATTGAGTATTTAAACTTTGCGATTAATTTCCATCGATATTTCTCTATAAGTCTATGACCGATCGGATCCCATACTGTTTATGCTCCTCCATCTCAACTTTGTTTCTGTTTTTGGAATGTATCTGGTTTATCCAAAAATAATTTTGCTTCGGACTTGAGATTCTGTTTGGATTTCATGTTTAGGGTTTATTCATCTCAGTTAAATTTTGAGGAATCAAAGTGATGTTAATCATACTGATTTAGCGTTGTGAATTGTGATATCCAGTTATAGTGAAGAATATATTCACAAACATAAAATCGTAGCAAAACAAAAAAAATATTCACAAGCATAAAAGAGACCATATTGAACGAGTTTCTACTGTTTTCTCTATAAGCCAAGTCAAATTGATCGCTCTGCTTCTTCACTCTAATTATAGTAAAGGCTGAAGAAATCGTTGAAATAAAGATTTCGATGAGCCCGAGACTCTTGCCCTAACCAGATTTTCTTAGCCGTGTGAAATACATGGTTATTCAAGGTGAACCAGGATCATGCATAATAGAATATAAATGGGAAATTATTGATTAAATTTAAACAAAACTAGACCAATCAGGGTTTTGAAAATTATATTTTTCATGTTGAATCTTGTGGAATCGTTGAACAGAAAGTGTGATTTCACTAAAGATTGTTATTGGTAAAATCTTGCAATCATGCTAATTTAGTAATATTAGTAATGAGACTTTCAGTGAGACTTTTGTTACAACATTTTTTTTAAACGGATCAAGGTATTTATGTGGTTGATTTTACGATTAGATAATGGAATGTAGGAGGGTCTTGAAATGGACATTTGCATATGGATACTACCTTGCTCATCATGAACATGCAAAGACACAATTTTTTCGAGTATTTGCAAGGGGAAGCTCGAGCTGGTTTGGAGAGGCTTCATCATTGTGCAGAGATGTAGTTGGAACAGTTTGTCTCCGGAACTAATGAACCATCCAAAAGTTTCAATGATTTCATTTGACTAAAGTAACAAAACCTACTTCGAAAAACACGTGAAAGCTTTGGAGAATGGTCTTGCTGATGTGGAACACAATGAGAGCACAAATCAACAACAGACTCTAGATCTTCTTTCAAATGACAAAGGTTGACAAGGGTCTAAGAAAGATCCAAGTGGTAAGTGAGAGATCTTTCAGCTTCAGATTTATATTATTGGTGCAAAAAACCGTATGGTTTATTGCAAGTGGTATTTTCCAAATTAAGGATCATACCAAGTATTCAGTTTACAATTCGGAGGGACATGTGAAAAATTGTAATGTTATAGTATTGAGAAGCTATTGGTTAAGATAAATAAAGAATAGATTTTTTCCCCCTAAAAAAACCTATAGCATCACTCTGCTAATTTAAAAGTTTTTTATTTCTTTCAACGCCTTATAGAAAAAATAATCTCATTATGTAAATCTCAATAACAGAGTACATTGGTAAAGTTTCAAAAACCAGAAAATAGTCAAGATAATACCAGTAGGTACTTTACATAACGATCAAGGGGAAAGTGAGTAACTCCTATGAGAGAGTCATCTCATTAAGTATAATTGTTTAAGAATCTAATATTTTTTAAGAAAATAATTGGAATAATATATGTCTCAAATAATAAATAATTCATTATGTGAAGATTATTCTTTCTACGAAATATAAGAAGTGAATACAGTTCTAATTTTTATGATTAAAAATTAAAACATGTTTTAGTTGTTTGATTTATATATAATTTTGGGATTATTTTTAGGTAATAAAGAATAACAACTTTAAGAGTGACTTCGTTTCAGCTTTCAAACTATATTTCATCTTCGTTTTAAGAGGAGAGTTCATATTAGAATACTCGAATAATATGTGTCTATGTTATCTTTGTGATTCACTTTGCAAGACTTTTTGAAACTGATCGTTTATACAAAGATAGTCAAACCTATAAAAGATGTGAAAATATAGAAAACTTTCAAACTTTCAAAAATAAATAGTAGAAGAAAATACGAAGAAGGAATAAAACTAAAATAAGAAGAAAAACAAAAAGAAAAAGTATGTTTATTTAATATTTTATGTAGAAGAATAAGAAATTGGAAAATGATCTGTATAAAGAACAATAGGAAGAAAAAAAATCGAAAGAACAAGATGAAAAGAAATTGAAAGAAAAAAATAATGTTTCCGTCTGCGCAACGCAATTTTAAGCAAGTCTTTCAAGTAAATTAACGATTTTGAGTAAGTATTTTTAATGAAACATCTTCGTCCGCACAATGTGCGGGCTAAACACCTAGTAATGTTATAAAGATCAAGATGTAGGTTATTGAATGTAGGTCTTGATATTTTTCATATTAATGCAAGTGTTTACTTTGAAAAAGAAGTTAAGAAGAACATATATATGTGTGTGTAATAAAATGTCAATTCAACGATGTAAATCTTTACGAGTAAATTTATTGAATATAACACGTATTATATGGACCACGTGAAAACATATCGGATCGACTTCTTATTTATCTTACATAATAAAATTTGTTCAAATTGTCAAACAATGATTGGTTGAATAATATCAATATCGCTATAGATCTTTTCTATAGATATTATTCAAAATATATGAAAATATTGATGTTATTTTTAAGCAGTACATTTGATTAAATTATTTTATCTTGGACCAGACGCAGACTTATATGGAATATGACAGCAACACGCATCAGTTGTACACAAAGAAAGATAATAACCATGGTCTATACAAAAAGGTTTGCAGAGATCCTTTCGACATGTTTCTGTTCCATAGAAGCATTGGAGGTCCTGCTGCTTTGTTCCGTAACCTATTCATTAATTAAAATCATCAAACCAGTATGTACATTCATTGAAAAGGACGAAATCATCTCCCTAATTATTAAGTAGAAAGTAAGAGTATAACTTTATAAGAATAAATATTTACCTAAAGTAGTACTAACAGTTGTTGTACGACATTGCACCGAAGATATGATGAAAAGGGCAGTAAAAACAAAAGCAATTGAAGTTTTCATGGTGATGACCATTTTATTATATTCTCTTGATTTTTTGATGATTTTTTTGTTATGTAGATTGGCTATATATGTAGTAACACAAACATAAATAAGTTGTATTTTTCATGGTCAAATTTGAAAAAGAACTTAACAAAAAAAAGAGTTGAAAAAGCATAATCTTTCAATTAATTACTAATAGATTTATAGTCAAAATCAAATCATTTACTTGTCAAAAGAAAACCACATGTTGACAAAGAAAAACATCCACACACATAGAATTATTTTCTTAACTAATTATATTACATCTTTAATATTGGTTAGATCATGGAATGGTATTTATATATAATCTGTAATTTGTTTAATATCTAATTACATTTTTTATTATGTAATTTGTATTCCCCACATCCCACGTCAAAACCACCGGTTCGGTTTCCTGCTGAACCGGTATTACGTTTTATTGGCTACAGCCAGAAATTCTGGTGTGTTTAGTCTTCTTTGTAGTCTGCGACTGCGAGATCGCACTTAAGCTCCGTAAGTTGCTTCCATGGAGATTCTCTAAAAACATTTCATCTATTGTTTCCAAGGATCTAAACTTTCTGAGTTTTTCTTTCTATTCTCTCTAGCGGGTTTAGTTGCGTGTCGAGATGTAATCGAAGTGGGCGATGAGGCGTAATAATTCGTTATTTCAGCTTCCATGAGATTTTTCGTGAGGAAGCTAGGGTTTTTCTGTCTTGATTGACTAGTATTGATCATTATACGATTAGGATTCTCTTGGTAATAGTTACTCTAGTTCATCACGCTTAGAACGGACAATGAATTTGACTATACAGATCTTTTTCTCTAGAGCTAAAGGTTTCTCCTTTTTGTTGCGTAGTGAATAACTCCAGTTCTCATGGAGAAAAGCCTCTGCTTTTGAGAGTTCTTGGGCAATATAGTTAAGATTGGTTTATGCTTTTCTTTCGAGGCTTTTGATGACCAATTGTCGTTCTTTTTTTGGTTTTATGGTCCTTATGTGACACATTGATTACTATCAAGTTTCTATATAAAATCTTTGGCATCTCGATTTTGTAGAGTAGTTTGATTGTTGTCATGGCTTTTGAGCATTGTTCTCATGTTGAAGTTGCTTATTTGCAGGTGGATGCAGAATACATTCTTTAGTTTCTTGAGCTTCCTCGTGTTCCAGGCGTAATTATATACCTTTCGATCTGTTTGTTTTTGCAGTTAAAATGGTGACTACACTATCCTTGAGCAATTTTTCCTTTTCTTTTTCATGTCAGTTTATATGTTGTATATCTTCATTGTTTCGTTTTTCAACTCGATCAAGTTGGTTTTTCTCTCGCTTGTCTATTGAGGTACAACCTAGTAGAAATTGCGAGTGAAACTCATTGGTGAAATAAAATATGTCTCTGTCTGCTATTTGCTATTCTCTCATATAGTCTTATGTTAATTTGTGCCATCTTCTTGCTTCAGGATACTGGTGGGTTTGTAGATGAAAAGAGCGAGAGCAGATTATATGTTGGAAACTTAGATCTTCGAATAAACGAGTAAGAGCAAAAAAACGCCGTGAAGCAAAGCTTGTTAATATTAAAACTTTTTGACATCAGTACCATTTAATCTTCTCTTCTTGATAGGGCTGCGTTGATAAAGATGTTTACTCCATATGGGAAGATCATATCAGAAGACTTCCTTTGGCACACACGCGGGCCAAAGAAAGGAGAGCCACGCGGCTATGCTTTCATTCAATACAGCCGTAAAGAGGTAACTACTAATCTTGGCTTTTCTTTGGTTTTTGGATTTTGCTCAGATGAGATTTGTTTTAGATGATGATGACCCAAAAAAAGGGTTTGTTCTTTTTGACTTTGATTGAGAAAATCTCCTGATTTCTACATCTAAAGTGAGTACACAGGAAGCTGAATTGGCCAAGGAGAAGATGCATGGGAGATTAGCTTGTGGTAAGCCTTTGGTGGTTCGTCTAGCTAGTGAGAAGCTTCTAGAAGATTCCACTCATGATCATTCCAAAAGATTATCATTACCAGAAGCAAACAGAGCGAGGTTTGCAAGTGGAAGCAGCTCAGGACAAATGAGCCGAGACGAAAAAGTGGCTGCCATTAAGAACAAACTCAAAGCTTTGGAGGAAGATGAGAAACAACGAGATCCCAAGAAACAGAAGAGATAAAGAATGAGAGAGTTTCAATTTTTTTTTTTTTAACAAGGAATCGAAAATTAAACCGAAATTGAATTGGAGGGATATTAACCGACTTTTTGTAGTAAAGGAAATAAAGATTAAACCGAATTGAATTGGAGAAATATTAACCGGTTTTAGCTCCAATAATACCATAACCGAAATGAATCAATTAGCTGGTTCGATAAGAAACTAATTGTATTCAGGTTTGGTTTGTTTCGATTTTATTTTCTGGTTTAACAAAAACCAATTTTGGATTTTAGCTTCGGTTCGGATCGGTAATGATATTTTTGATTAGAGAGATGCAAAAAGTTGACGCACTATGGAGTCAACAAGTCCACTCTCTTTACTCAGTTTCCATCGTAAAGCAGACTCAGACGCGATATGGCGACGAGCTTGCCGTTCCTGAATGTGACCGGAATCTCGTTACCGTCGTCGGGATCAATTCGCCGGCGATCGCACATTGTTTCACACCAGGATCTTCCTGAATTCTCGTCTAAAGCAGTCTCTTCTCGGCGGCTTAGATTCTCTCATGCTTCTTCATTGTCGTCGCAATCTCGTAACGGCAGCGACGACAGTTTTCTCTCGCCGGGTCTGTTACCGGAAGTATCGTCTCCGATCCGATCGGTGACTGTGAGATCGCAATTGAATTTGAGTACGCCTCTCATTTCTCCAAACGATGAATGGGGAACTTGGACCGCTCTGTTTGCCACTGGTGCTTTCGGTCTCTGGTACGCCTTTACCTTTTCTTTCTCCGACTATTTCTAAACTCCGATCGTTATTTTTGATCCAAATTTTGAATATATGCACATTTCCGATCACTTGATCAAATTTGTGACCGATTATACTTTGTTTTCGACATTACTTAAAATACTTTTTGATTGTTAGGTGAAGTTGATTTTGCTTAGAGAGGTTTAACAATTTGCAAAATGATGTTTGAAAATAATTGTTTGAAATCATATGTGGTGTGACTCTGGAACTATCAGGTCGGAGAAGACGAAGATCGGAAGTGCGGTGAGTGGTGCGTTGGTCAGCACACTAATTGGGCTTGCAGCTAGTAATCTTGGGGTTATTTCTTCAGAAGCTCCAGCTTTTGCTGTAGTGTTGAATTTTCTGCTCCCGTTGGCTGTTCCTCTGTTGCTGTTTAGAGCAGATCTCCGCCGTGTGGTTCAATCCACTGGGAAGCTTCTCTTGGCTTTTGTAATTGGATCAGGTATTACGGAACCAGTTCATGTCTCTTCTTGGTGCTATAACTGTAGGAGCAGAAGGCTCATAATTTACTTAAATATCACACTAAACTTAAAGCTTGATCATTGTCTATTCATGGGTTTTGCATGAACAGTTGCGACAACAGTTGGTACAGCTCTGGCCTACTACCTTGTGCCAATGAGAGCACTTGGTCCGGATAGTTGGAAGATAGCGGCTGCTCTCATGGGAAGGCATATCGGTGGAGGTGACCATCCATTTGTTTTTGGACTTATGAGAGACACAATATTTGTATCTTCCAGCTTCTTGAAACACCAAATTTTGTTTCCTTCCTTTTATAGTGGCATATAAGTTTTCATCTTTGATTGTTGTTTGTCTAGCCGTCAACTACGTTGCCATAGCGAATGCTCTTGGAGTTTCACCATCAGTATTAGCAGCTGGACTGGCTGCTGATAATGTTATATGCGCTGTATATTTCACGTCATTGTTTGCTATAGGCTCCAAAATACCTGCTGAAGCTTCACCGCCACCAACTAGTGGTAAGTCTAAATGTTGCTTTGATGTCCGTTTTCGTTTGATTTGGCTTCCTTTAGAAGAATGGATCATTGCCATTTGCTCTGTTCCATTCCTTTATTCTTGTAGATTCTGGTCAATTTTTGCAGTATTTCAGTTTCAGTTTTTGAATTATGACTTAGATGTTGCTCTCCCATGGCAGATACAGAGATAATCAAAGACTCTGAAACTAAGAACAAAATCCCTGTGCTGCTGATAGCTACTGGAATCGCTGTGTCCTTAGCTATATGCAAGATTGGGGCTTTGGTAACAAAGTACTTCGGGATTTCCGGTGGTAGCTTACCAGCAATAACCGCGGTGGTTGTTGTTTTGGCAACTGTCTTTCCTTCCCAATTTGGTCGTCTTGCTCCATCTGGAGAAGCCATGGCTCTAATTCTTATGCAGGTATGTGACACAGTTCATTTTCATGAACAGTTCCTGAAAAGGTTTTAACTAAACTAAAGTTTCTTTCCAGGTATTCTTCACTGTGATAGGTGCGAGCGGAAACATATGGAGTGTGATAAACACGGCGCCGAGCATATTCTTGTTTGCATTGGTCCAAATTGGGACACATCTTGCTGTGATATTGGGCGTAGGAAAGCTGCTCAACGTCGAGCTAAGGCTTCTGCTTCTGGCATCAAATGCTAATGTCGGTGGACCAACGACTGCAGCGGGGATGGCGACGGCGAAGGGATGGAACTCGTTGATCGTTCCCGGGATTTTGGCTGGAATTTTCGGGATCTCCATTGCAACTTTCATAGGGATTGGATTTGGTGTGAAAGTCCTCAAGTTCATGTGAAGATGGTAAATTTATGAATAGATTATGGATTGGACTCTCTGCTTTCTCTGCCTCTCTTCTGCAATCTCGGTTATGTCGATTTTGGTTGAAAAAGCCAATAAAATATTTAGAGTTTGTGTGGTGCATGTTTTCATAAGATGCTAAAGAGAGATGTAGAGAATTATGATGGTTATCTTTGTAGCAATTCTTGAATCTTGATTGAAATTTTAGATAATGTCGTCTTGTCAAAGCTTAGAGAATAGCGATGTTTATGTTTTGGCATCAGATACCATTAAATTGTGTCTGAGCCGAAACCATCTCTTAACCGGAGAATTTAAGAATGGTTAAAACCAGTACCAATACCCGGTTATTCTTTCGTAGTTAAACTCTTCAGAATCAAAGTTAATTCATATAACTTGTAATCGCAGAATTCTCTACTTCTCATACAAGAAAGCTTTCAAATTTCCAACAATCATTCAATAATTCAATTATAAAATGTAACTTTCTTCTCTCTCGACTCTACAGTGACAATTCCACTCTCACCATAAACCTTTACCTTAAAAAAAAAAGAAGCAAAGATTTGCCACTCAGAATCACCACAAATACAGTCTCTCCCTCTTCTCTCTTTCTCTCTGTTGCTCTCACTCTCTCTAGACCAGAGGCTCTGCGACATGGTGACGACTCTACCGACTCTGCTTTTGTAACTCTGTTTTTTGGTTATATTTCGTTAAAAAAAATAAACAGTTGCGACAACGGTTGGGACAGTTTTGGGCTTACTTTTGGTTCTGAAGTTGGAAGACATATCGGTTGAGGTAACAAGTAATCCAATATAAATCACAATTTTATGACAATATATAAAGTTGAATTTTTGCAAATTTTTTTGAAGCTGGAAACTACATTGCGATAGCGAAAGCTCTCGATGTTTCGCCTTCAGTAGTAGCTGCTGTACTTGCTGCTGATAATGTTATATGCGCATTGTATTTCATGTCATTGTTTGCTTTGGCTTCCTAGAATACCTGATGAATTTTCACTACCACAAACTAGTGGTAAGCTAAGCAGATCACATAAATTGTGATTATCTAATATATAAAGAGTGAGTATGTCTTTACAAGGGCTTGACAACTCAGCATCAACTCAGCATCCTTCTTTTTGACACATCAGTTCTTTACAAAAAAAAAGTTTTAAAGAAAAACACATCAATAATATAATTAAGTCTCACCCTTTCAAAAATGTAGACCGCTTCGCTTCCTCTCTTTTTTCACATTAATGAAAAATCATGACCAGAAAAATTGCGGTCACTAATTAACAATAAAATATTGTATTCTACATTGAATCTTCCATCGGTCGCGACTTAGCTGTAGAATCCAATTGTGGAGAGTTAGGATCGTGATCTTTCTTCTTCTTTTTTCCTCTTCAAACCAGAGATTCTTTTGCACCTCGTATATCTGTAGAGTCAAAGGTGACTCATATATTTTTTAATCTTCTATGAATAAGATATTTAAGAAATATTATATTTACTTTCTAAACTCTAACCTACATGTAACATATCAGTTCAGTTTTCTAAGATCATCATGTTTTCCAAGTTTGCTGTGTTAGAGTAGTGAAATACACAACTGCGCTGGAACTAGAAAAATGGAAAAAGCTTGATGCGAAGATGTAGGAGTTGAAAGTATAATATATAATTATACGAAGATGATTTTTTTATGCTATGTGAAAGCCGTACAGCGCGCAGCACACAACTCTCGGTATGAGAGCTTGCTCCATATCTTATTAGATCCATCTGAAATTCAGAGTCAAATAATTCTACCCTTCTGGCAAGTGGACTTTGAGTATAAACTGTAACACCTATTGTCATTACTTACACAGTATTACAGTACAAAGGATGAAGTAGAAAGATATTGATAGATGGTAAAATGAAGTTAGAAAATGGTGGAGTGTTGCAACTCATAATGTATTTAAAGGCTTTTGATATACACAAATTATAGTACACATTATTTTCTGGTCCTCTTGCAACTCAAAGTCTTATGCAGTGCATTTATGAAATCTAAGCCCCCAACATTCTTGGTTTGATGTTATTATGTTGTGAGTTTTATTTTGCTACCAATAATTTTATGTCTAGAGGTTGTGAGTACAAGAATATAAATTTTCTATGTCGTATGCTATCAATGATTTCTTTTTATGAGATTTTCTATTCTTACTCTTTTGTATAAATTGTTTGGGTAGTAAAAAATACATATTTTTCTCTTTTCTCAAACATTAACAAAGGCTCTCCATGCAACAGAGATTTTATAATCTAGGAAGAAACAGAGATGACCAACTTTTTTATTGTTAAGTGAGACCACCACTTGATGCACTGATTTACAATTTTACAATGACGTTACAATAAGTAAACGAAAAATTTAAAACGAGAAGCAGAAACAAAACAGAAATTCGAAAACCAAAATATTTGTCCCTTTTAAGAGAAAATCTTGCTCCCAAGGTTTTTTTTCTTTTCTCACCATCTCTTTCTCTGTTCATATGATTTTCCTCTCTGATTCCAGTTCCAAATCTAACTTCACCTTATCTTCTTTAATTATGCGATTATTTTCCTTAAGGTTTTTGATAGAAAATCAATGATGAACCATTAGATTAATGCTCTCTAGAGGAAACAGACGGCTACGATCATGTTTTCTTTTTATTTGAAGAATGGTTTTGGTTGATATTGGTGGCCTAGACGAAAGTTTTTGTATGAGTGTGTGTGATATTTTCTTAATGTATGTTCCAACATATGATTTGGAATACAATTTCCTATTCTTTCACACTAATTTTTCTAAAGATTTTTTTTCTGATGTCCTAACGAAGAAACTCGGTGATACGATTAACATCTCTATCTCTATGCATTTGGAATGGATGATCGGATGAGTACCAATGCGAAAAAGTTTTGTTAACGAAAAGTTAAGAAGTTGTGTTAAAATAAGCTGCTTCACCCTCTTTAACTAACTTTTTTCTTTATCCTCTGCATTTTATATTGTTATGATAGTATTAGGAAAATTTGTAAAATAAACTCGGAAAAAGAGGAAGACGAAAGGAGGACATTTAGAAGGCAAAATCATAGTTTTGAGTAAAAATAAAATTGAGAGTTTCGCAGAGAAGTCAAGGTAATAATACTATAATTTTAAAAAAAGTTATTTATTACATACATGAACAAGATTTGGTGTGCTCAAGAAGCATCAAACAAATGTTATCATTTTGTTCATATACGAGTATTCACGACAGACCAAGTAGAACTTTGACAAAAAGAAAGCACAAGAATTTGGATAGATAAACTTTTAAAGATAAGGGATGACATTGTAATATATTTTTTTTTTTTTGTAAAAGGCTATGATATTGTAAGAGTTCTCGCCTATGTTTTCAATTCTATCAACCAATAAACTTAAAATCAAACGTTATATTAACAGCAAGTTTGTGAAAAGATACATACACAAAATAAATATGAATGAGTGATCATAAGGATCAGATTTGGGTAGTACACTAGTACGAATATTAGTTCAAAGCAAGTTAATATCAGGAGAAAGTATCAAACTTGTTTTTATAAAATCTTCAATTCTGTGTAATGAAAATGATCAAAAACTTTTTAGTATTAACTAATTTGATTGACCAAAGAAATATTTTAGTTAAAGAAACGATCGATTTGCCTAAAGTGAAATATTTTAGTAAAATATTTTAGTTAAAGAAATATTTGATTGACTAAAGTATATATACGGGTATTTATCTAGTTATAATTTTAAATAAAGATGAGAGAACAAATGGATATATATTTTTCATGAAACCTTTGTAAAGCGGGCACTACGTTTTGCTTTGCTTTCATCATATTTTTGTAAAGTAGAAATATCATTTCTTTCGACGACGAGTCAAACTATCAGACTCTAGAAAATCTTAATCTTTACCAATATAAATCAACGCAAGATATTAAAAATATATATATGGTAGTTGCTTTCGTAATGGTTTTGTTAAGCATCATTAGCCTTCTTGGCGTACAATTTCGCCGTACCTCCAACCCGCTCGCCTGTCGACTTTCTTATAATTCCAACAACTATTTCTCTGGAATCATTTCCTTAACTTTTATACATAATTCCAATAACAACAAGCTCGAATTTGTTGAACCCATAAAACCAAAATATAACTTAAATACCAAAAACATTTATAATTTTAGTTTGATTTTTTTGTAGTTTTTCTTTATCTCATTTTTAGTCCATAACTGAATTTCTAGCCGATTGAGAATGTCTCTCATAAACCTTATTTTCTCTGTCTTTTTTATTTTTTGCAGTTTCGTAAATGGCAATAATACTTTTTATTTGACCCCGTATATTTTTTCAGAATGTTTTTAAGTTGAATGTATATTATGAAATCATTTCATATAAATTTATTTGAACTACGTGATAATTTGGAGAGTTTTATTTAGGTATTCTATATAAAAATAATTAGTTAATTGTATGAAAAGATAAGAAATTTTTAATTCAGAAATGTCATTGGAAGGTTGATGCAATAAATAATGTTTAGAAGTCAATATTCTTCACTTTACTCTCACGCCACTCTATCTCGCAGATGTATAAATACCAACCCACATTGTGCCATCTTTTTACTTTTAATTAGTTAGCCCCCAGTCTTAACAATGCCCACTAAAACGGTTTTAACCAGCCTAGTCATAGCCCTTTTATCCACCATTCTTGCTCTCTACTCAGTCCTGTTGCCTTCCTCTCTCTCTTCTATTGCTACAACTATCATAACCAATTCTCAACTCGGAGAATTATCAATATATTCAACAATCTTTGGACACATACACCAACACCATCATGTTCCAATAAAGTGTTGTGAGAAATGGGAGTCAAGGCTTACACGCATGTACAGGGCTTCTCTTGTGTTGACTGTTGATTTGCACGGTTGTGGTAACTTCAGCAGTGTCCAAAGCGCCATTGATTCTGTCCCTGATTTAAGTCCTTCCAAAACTTTCATTATCGTAAATTCGGGTGTTTATAGGTCATTTCTTTAACTTCAAGCTATTGTTCTTCGTCTTCTTTCTCTTTTGATAATTCGATATTATTTTCTTGTGTTCATCAAATAGTATTAGTAATGTTTGGTTCATATATGTAAGTAGGGAAAAAATTACAGTCAATGAGAACAAGACAAACATTGTAATGCAAGGAAGAGGATATCAAAATACATCCATTGAATGGAATGACACAGCGAAATCTACAGGAGGCACTGCCTATAGTTTCTCTTTTGTTGTGTTTGCAGCTAACTTCACAGCTTACAATATCAGCTTCAAGGTAAAAAATGCGAAATCGCAACAATGAGTATGATGATTAGACTTCTAAAACGTGTATTTGTTTTGAGTGGATGAAGAACAATGCGCCAGAACCAGATCCTGGTGAAGATGATGCACAAGCTGTAGCTCTAAGGATTGAAGGAGACCAATGTGCTTTTTATGGATGTGGATTCTACGGTGCTCAAGATACCCTTCTAGATAATAAAGGAAGACATTTCTTCAAAAATTGTTTCATCCAAGGGTCTATAGATTTCATATTTGGCAATGGAAGATCACTCTATCAGGTTAAACATATAAAATACATTCTTGAGCATTCCAAAAAATGGCCATAACAATATGACTCGCTAGCAGGATTGTACAATTAACTCGATAGCAAAGGAGAATACAACAGGAGTTAGCGGATCTATCACGGCTCATGCAAGGCAGACAGAAGATGAACAGACAGGATTCTCTTTCGTGAATTGTAAGATAGATGGAAGTGGGAAAGTGTGGCTTGGACGAGCTTGGGGAGCCTATGCTACCATAGTGTTCTCGAACACCTACATGTCTGGAATCATCACTCCAGAAGGTTGGAATAATTGGGGAGATCCGAGCAGAGAAAAGTAAGTGGACTACAAACAAATTGCAAATTATCATTAAAAACTTACTTACGTCCTAATTATTTTCCAGGACAGTGATTTTTGGAGAGCATAACTGCTATGGAGAAGGAGCAAATTACAAAGGGAGAGTATCTTACGGGAAACAATTAACAGATTCTGAAGTATCTTCATTCACGGACATTTCTTACATAGATGGAGACCAGTGGCTAAATCAATCTAACACACTCTCCGAACATATATCTGAAGACCATAGAGATGAGCTTATTGGATTTTACTAACGTATACAAAGATCATGATGCATGGATGCACACAAAAAAACATTCAGATATAGTAGTCACATTCACAGATGTCAAATATATATATATATACATTCACATCTAATTTTCAAACAAGGCCATAGTTCTATATATAGTCTATTTGTTTGTGTTGTTCTTAAATGATGAATCATTATTTTTTTACGAATTGATGTGATAAATTTTTATATATAAGTGGAAATGATTCATGCATGATTAAAAAGGAGTAGTAAATGTTAGAGTTTTACCAACCTACAAATAAAAAGGTCACGTTTGTGGCACAACCCACATAATCATTGCTTAAGACCATATATATAGTTTAAAACTTTAATAATCCCCTCGTTTCGGCGATTCATTTGTAAGTAATAAACATTTTTGCTCTTAATGTACTTTTTATGTCAGTTTTCTTTCCTTATTTTTTGCTTAGTTTTTATCCCTTTTGTTTATTTTTTCCAACTACATAGTCATTGCTACTGCTCTGCATCTTTCGCAGCCTCTGGTTCAGGTGCATTTCTTCCTCCAAACTAATAGAAGTATGTATGTGAACTCATAACATACAATTAGGTCATGATTGTTGACCTTGATGCCCTTAGACATTCACATTAGCTGCAAAGACATAAAATGAGTAGCTAGCGAGAGTCTTTCCCGAAGATTTTGCGGTGTCATTCAATTGAATAATGTGTTTTGGTATCCTCTTCCTGGTAATACAATGTTTATTTTCTTCTCACTAACCATAGCTTTTTCCCAATTTATTTTGCAAGGAACCATACATTACTACAAAGCATCTACAGCGCTCTGAATATTGGTGAAGTTGCCACAGGCATTAAAGTCGACAGTTAAAACAAGGGAAGCTTTGTAGAAGTGTCTAAGCTTTGATGACATCCATCCTTTTAGACATATTTCTGCTAATTAAGTCATGGGTTGTTGATAATGCGGTTTGTGTCCAATAAATGTCATTTGTGTTGTTAATGCTTGGTCACTGGAAGAGAAACAGAGGAATGAAATTGGATTTGCATAGACAGAGAGAATGATGGAGAGAAAAGAAATGAAGATTGTCAAAACCAGTTTGATGCACATGATGAACTGGGTGTTTCTCAAATGATTGCAAAGAAAAAAGAGTTTATAAGTTTGTACCTTGAGGAAGAGTGGATTCACAAATTAAACCAACTAAAATCATTGACTAATTAAATGTCATTACATTGTTTTTACAATATTTATGATCACAGAGCATTTGAATAAACATGGAATCACGTGAGCAGAAGTGAAAGAAAGTAAGAAACAATCTTGATATAATACAAATAAAAACATTTTTTCGTGGCTTCAGAAATTAAACCAACTACAATCATTAACTAAATTTCGTTAGTGTTTTACAATATTTATGATGGAGCATTTGAATAAACATGGAATGACGTGAGCAGAAGTGAACCAAAAAAAAAAAACAATCTTCATATAATACAAATAAAAAACATTTTTTTTCTTAGAATCTTTTTTAAAAATAAAATATTGGTAGAAACGAAAAGTGTTTTTTTCGTCCAAAAAGAACAAAAGGTATGTGATCCTAAAAAGGTAAATAATACGACTTCTTCAATTTTTCCATCCATCTTCAACCAAATCTTTGACTTGCTTTACATCAACACAGAAGATGAACATACGACTCCTCCTTAGGTTGTTTCAAATCAAAATTTTCTTCTAAAGGTACGCCGGTTTCGATTATCTGGTCAATGATATTTGGTGTGAATGAACCGGTTTCTGCAGCATGGATGCTCCTTTGAACCTCACCATTTGGTAGCATACCTTTATATACTTGCTGAGCTGAAGCAAATGAAGGGTTTAATTGTTATGAGATTCTTTAGAACAAAAATCAGAAACTACACAATTCACAAATGCGTCAAATCCGTTGTTTTACCTGTTCAGGTGCGAGTTTTGTAAACCTAAATTTGTTCATCCATAAGGGCTCTCTGCCTCTTCAGCAGCTGGAACCACGATGCTTTCGACATTCAAGAATGAGAGTAGCTTCTCAATGCAGGAAAAGAGCAATTGAAAGTAGCCCTATTTTGTATAACCCCATGAAAATTGGTTAAGCAAGAAACCTCAAAAGTCAATCAGGAAACAGAATTTATTTTCTACATACGGTTTTTAAAGGCTCTAGTTCTGATGCAGGTTTTTTTTTTTTTTGCAGTGTTGGGAGCAAAGTGGAAACATAAGGAGTGTAATAGAGACAGGACCAAGCATATTTATATTTGCTTTGCTACAAATTGTGATACATCTTTGGGTGTTACTGATTTTCTACTGAGGCTCTGACCAAAGTAGCATTTGATTCTCTACTACGAGAAAACAACCAGAGATCACTCCACTCCAATACCCACGGAAATAGAAATTTTATACCACTTTTTGGAGCCTTTTTTCAATAAACAGAAATTTTGATATGATTAGGAATACTCCTTAGTAAGACTTGGCAAAGATTGCAACCTCTTCAGCTGGATTTCCAGTCATTAGACATGTTTTAGTCCCTTGAGTCTGTTCAAACGGGAAACACCGAATGGTTGCTCCGGTTTCTTCTTTTACCCTTTGCTCATCCGAGTCACTTGCTGACCAAGGACCTCTCGCCCATTTCCCTGATGAAATTGCATCTTTGAGCTCATCGTATGAGTTCACATCCACAATGTTACTGCACCAATCACACATCAACATGTGGTGAGCAAAAGACTCGGTATGTAACTTGTGGAAGAAAGATAACAAAAACAAAAAAAGTGTACCTATCCCTGAATGATACCGCCTTTTCTAGAAGCGATGATTGGATCTCGTCCAACTTCTCTTTTACATACGCCACTAACGTTGAAGGTTCCATTGATATTCCAAAGACTTTCCCTGCCTTTCCTGGTATATCCCTCCTCGAGACAACCACACAGTTACTGGCTACATCGCGTGGACCAATTTCAATCCTCATCGGGATTCCCTGCAAACGAATGAATCTATCAGAGGTGATATTGGTTTGATTCATCAACATCAGAAAATGATTCTAATGTTTTTTTTCTAAGAGAGTAATGAACCTTCATTTCCCAGTAATTGAACTTCCATCCTGCTGTTTGTTGTTCTGTGTCATCAAGTTTAACTCTGACGCCAGCAGTTTGGAGAACTTCCTTCACTGATGATGCAGCACTGAGAACACCTGTTTTCTCAGTGTCCTTTTTCCAAATAGGTACAATTACTACCTTCAAAAGAAAAGAAAAAAGAAGAAAAGATTCAATCTCAACTCTCGATCATCACATCCAACTATTTTTGCTAATGAAAACAACTAGTAGTCTTTAGCTAACAAATGTAACTTCAGATAGTAAAAAAATGACACTGCTTACAACTTCCAAACGAATAGAATATGAACCTGTATTGGAGCTATCTTGGGAGGAAGCATGAGACCTTTGTCATCTCCATGAGTCATGATAATGCCACCGACAAAACGTGTACTAACTGCCCATGATGTCTGCCACACATGTTGCCTTTCTCCATTCTCATCTTGAAACTGGCATAGTCATACATATGTCATTTAACATTCTTCCACGAGGAATTTGCAAACAAAAAAAAGATGTGACAAAACAGATGGACCAGCAGGAAACAATGATATAGTTCTAAGATCATAGTTATGTACCTGAGTTCCAAAGGCACGAGAGAAGTTCTGCCCTAGATTGTGGCTGGTACCAGCCTGCAAAGCCTTTCGATCTCCCATCATAGCCTCAATAGTATAGGTTATGTCAGCACCAGCAAAAGTCTCCAATTTCGATTTTCGACCTGCAATAACAGGTATTGCAGTTTGCTCAAATGCAAATCTGGTGTAGATTTCGATCATCTGTTTTGCCTGCAATACAGCACTAAACATTCGTCACAGAAGAGTACCACAAAAAGGCTCTATAAGCTGAACACAACAAAATAGAAAACAAACCTCTTTTTCTGCCTCCTCGGGAGTGGCATGTGCAGTATGACCCTCTTGCCACAAAAATTCAAGAGTCCTAATAAATGGTTTTGTCCGCATCTCCCATCTAGTGACATTGGCCCACTAAACAGCAGGAAAAAAAAAATTAACCAGGAGCAGTAATAAGCGCCACATCTATAAATTATAACACGAATGATAAACAATCTAGAGTTCTGTCCACACCTGATTGACCATGAGAGGAAGATCACGATAGCTTTGTATCCACTGGGTAAACATGTGATTCACAATGGTTTCACTGGTAGGTCGAACCTGCCACAGCCTCAACAAATGCAACAATCAAAGCCAAAACTTAGGTAATAATTTCTCACAACTCTAGCTAAGTGGTGAAACACAGGAATGCCGAAAAAATCCCTACCACGAGCTTCTCTTCAAGTTCTTTCCCTCCTCCAACAGTGACAAGGGCTAGTTCAGGACTAAATCCCTCAACGTGTGAAGCTTCTTTCTCAATAAACGAGTATGGTATAAACTGCACAAAAGGCCAAACCATCACTGAAACTCCAATGTAATATAAAAAATTATAAGAATACAACAATGATGACAATATGAATGTATCATTCCATTCAAGAAGCAATATATGGCATCAATACATTCACTTCATTACAAGTAAAAGCTTCCTGCTTCATGAAAAAATACATGCTTAAACCGCCACTGAAGAAAATTTAACTCATTTGAAGGATAACACTAAGAATACCAAATGCCTCCCAGGTTTCCAAAACGAGCATATGAGAGAAACGCACATGATTTTAACCAAGAAACTTCAAATAAGAATAATCTGTAATTACACTAACTCTATACTAAATCCAAACAGAATTATCAAATTAAACCAGCTTAAGCTAGTATTCTAAATTTCTACTTCAATCAAATGAGACTGTACCTGTGGGAAGTACATGTTGCTATGGCCAGTCTCTTTGAATTTCACATTCAAATACTCCTGCAAATCAACAAGCACGACGAAATTGAAGCAAGACAAATAACATTTGGCAATCAAATAAAAAAACGAACTAGGTTTTAAGAACAAACCTGAATCGCTTCCCAGATCGCGTAACCGTACGGACGAATGACCATAGTACCACGAACCGGACCATAATCAGCGAGCTCGGCGCTAGCGATGATATCCACATACCACGCATTGAAATCCTTCGAGCGAGGCGTGACGGCTTGGTCCGACCTGAGCCGCTCGACCTCCGACTTAGTCTCCGGCGAAGCAGTGCCACTCGTCGCCGTCGCGAATCTAGAAGCAGGTCTGTTCCGTAGACATACGGTTCGCCGAAGAGCTGCCGGATAACGAGTGGTGGCGGGAAATAGGAGGGAAGTGAGAGAAGGGAGTCTCAGAGAAGCCACCATTTATCTCCTTTTTCCTCAGGGAAAGAGAGACTGTGTTTACGAGCTGTGGTCAAGGTCAGACTTCGAGATGATGCGACTTTGAGACCACCTCTTCGAAAAAACTCATGTGTGGATAAGCAAGCCCATGAAGCTTTGAATGGATCTGTAAGCCCAATATAGCCCAATCTATATCACGTCATCCTTCTTTAAATTATTCAACGTGGTTTCGTTGATTAAAACTTTGATTGGTAATTTTGCGGAATGGCGGAACGACGGAAAAAATCTGTGGAATAGATTAATCTATTTATGATTCGCTTTATTGCGAAATGTTTTTTGTTTATATTTTTTAAGAAAAACGCAAATTGCATTTTCGCATGTATTTTTTCATTCCGCAGATTTTTGTTGATTGACAAAAAACTTGTGGAATTGTGTTTAAAAACATAATTCCGCATTCCGCAGGTTACCAATCGAAACCTAAATGATAAAAAAAAAACTTTTAATTTATCTCAGTTCATATTGAATTTCAATGCTTAATAAATTGAAATCTCAACTAATCTAAACTCAAATGGTTTTTTTTTTTGTGAAACATCTAAACTCGTTTTTCTCGAGATAATTCATTAATATTCCGTTTCTTGTATGGGCTTCCATCACAGGTAGACTTCACAGGAACCATCGTCTATATTGTATTGCTTGATCCCCTTTTGAAAAAATTGCCTCCATTTTCTGTAATTTATTTAAAAATAGAACTGCACCAAATAATAAAAAGAATAAGTTGTACATCTTTATAAAAATAAATGAATATTGACTTAGTGGTCCAATATAATGCACTTGGCCTACATAGTATACACATGTGCAATATATATATATGGCTCTCTCATCATCTTACATTTATTGCAAGCGTGTGTAAAGCCTTTTGTTACTTTCTTTCTCTTGTAGGTTCACTCCTTATACTTCAGATCATCAAAGTGAAGAATATGCCAACGTCAACTGCATAAGATGTGTGAGTTGTCATAAATGACCAAAGAAATTGATCAGCTATTTCAGTTTTTCATTATAAAAAATTTAGAGCTAAATGAATATAAAGTTTCAGCCTTCATTTATTTCATATGAATGTATAATATAATGTCGTAATCGGGAAAATTGGTTACATCACAACTCAGATAGGACCCGAAATGGCGAAATGTTACGACCTCATGAGATTTTTGATGAATAAATGAAAAAAAAATTCCTTCCATTTATTATAAACCAATACTCATATTAAACACTTCATTTACTCGGTTGGAGTTATAGAAGATAGAAAAACTAACGTATGCACTTGACTATTGCCTTTAGATCTTCTAGATATATATTACAAGCCATTCAAACACTACACACGGTTTTAGTTTGCGTATAAAAATCTTGATTAACCAACAAGTTACAAGAGATTAGTATATAAGAAGAGAGGTCTTTTCGAAAGATTATGCATATATTTAGCCGCAAACAGCTTGCACCAAACAATAATAATGTTATCTTTTCTAATGACCAGGTTTCTATAATTTAATTTATTTATTTATATTCCAAGGACACGGAGTTTACAAGTTTTGCGTAAAGATGGATCGTTTATATGAATTTAAATTATGAAAACTGTATAAAATAAGAACATCGAATTCCATGGGAAATGGGCCCATCCATCGCCAACTTTTATTACTATTTAAATAATTGAACTATGAGGTCCATGACCATAAAAGTCACCATATCATATTCTATATTTTCCCTCTAATTTCCAAAAACAAATAATATTGTTTTATTCTCACCAACATATTAACTCACGTTAAAACTACCCATGTTAAAGATTGACGAAGTCCAATTATAATTATCAAACGCATATATATAATAAAAAATAAAATATGTATATTTGAAAGACGAAAGAATGTCATATCCGGCACGACAAGTTTAATTGGCATGTTTTTTAATATACTATATTCGAAGAAATCTATTTCTATACCCAGCAAGTAGTAATTCGCTTCAAAACAAAATTACAATGCCATAAGAATACTAAGTGATTTGATCATGCAGTTTGCTAATAACGTATTGCTCTCTAGTATTGTAGAAAAAAAACTAATATGTCTAATAAATAATTAGTAGGTATGATGTCTAAGAATCATTATCTGTCAAGTTGTCATTAGCTACTACACCTGCGAGATTCTAGTACAAAAATTTCATCAGATATTAGCTTTTAAAGGCATAAATTCTGTAATATCTTAGTGATCGTAAGATATTGACAAGATATTTCAATAATAAATAATCTTAAGAAATTGAATTCCCTAAAAACGCAATCACTCTTTTCGTTTTATTTATTAGTACTAAAATATTAAAAGCCCTTTTTCTTTGTTACATAAGATTCCTAACCTTTCCTTTTTCTCCTCCGATCCTCCATTTTTATATTAATACACTTCGAAATGGAAAATCACAATGATAACAAATATCAGAAATATCCCGAAAAATTAATATAACAACAGTAATAATATGGTAATAATAAGATGAAAGATAAAAAAAAAAAGTGTGTGAAATTAACGCCAAGCAGATGCGACAGCGAGTGTCCGTCCCATCCAACCAAAGCAAACGCCTCCGTTATCTTCCTTAACGGTAAAACCCGGGTGAACTCGGTTTCCGTTACTGAGTCGACTCTTCATCGACTCAGCTATCTTCTCACTCAATGGCATCAACTCAAACCCGGCCATGCTCATCCGCATCCGCCATTTCCCGAACACCTCACACCGCTCAATCCTCTCGATGCCTTCACACGCCACCGCGTTTATCAACTTCCGGCCGATACCTTCCTCGACTTTGACTCGGTCCGAGTTAACACTTGGAACGGTCGACTCGACCGAGTCAAGCAATGCACCGTAACACGCACACGACTCGCTCACTCTTCCTAAAAACGGCGCCGTGTTGGAATTCATCTCTTGCTCCACGATTGTCACCACGCGCGGCTTGAGTCCCTTCACGCGCCGGAGAAGCTCGTCTCTTGGATTCTCCGTGCATACGCTTTCGTCGGGAACACGATAGAGCTTGAAAGCCAAGTTCACGGCTAAATGCTCGTCGGGATCGCATCCGAGCGATTCACGGCTCAGATCGCTGAGTCTTTGACTCGCTACCACGTTGAACCTCAAGGAGATACCGAGTCGATCACCGAGTTGACTCAGAAGATCTCCGACGGCTGTTAACCTATCCTCTCCACCGTCTGCAACGACCGAAAACCCGTCGCTGCTGTTCGTAACGGCGGTGATTTTAACCACCGGTGGATTATTACCGTTCCGGCGCGTGGAGAGCTCGTGGAGGAGGTTCACGTACTGTCCACCTTCACCGATGTCGAAATCGATAACGTGCATCGTCATCCCCTCGCCGTCGTCGTTGTTACCGGCGGCGTCGAGAATGGCGAGATTAGCCGCCATGAAACCGAGTTTGAAACAAGGAGAAAGCTCGTAGAGCAATTGAGTCGAGATTAGATGTTCCTTTCCGTACAATTCCGTCGCCGGAGAAGGAATCTCAGCCGGATTAATCCGCGATCGAAGCGCCGTCACCATGAAATCAACAAGCTTCTCCTCGGAATTCCTCCTCGGATTCGGCGTCTGAGAAACACGCGCCAGGATCTCCGTCGCTATCTCCGTCTTCCCTTCCGCGATCGCCGTCGCGATTTCCATCACGGTCTGCCTCGAACATACCTGCGTCGTCGTCGAAGCTGTAGAAGGCGAAGAAGACGAGGAAGAAGAGCTCGGGGAAGAAGAAGAAACCGGGTTCGGGTTCGGATTCGGAGCCACGAGGCTTTGTATCCAATCGCTGTTTGAATGGGTAATAACAGACACGTCATCATCACCGCCTTTTGCGTCACTCTCGTCGTCGTCGTCGTCTAAAAGCTGTTTCTCAAGCTCTCTTAAACTATTCAGCATGTTATCCGATTCCTCAACCCGGTTTAGATTCTGAACCGGTTCAATACACGGTACACCGGATAAAGTCTGATTACCCGACCCGAATCCCATTCGGACCCCACCAAATAACTGCTGCTGCTGCGACCTGAGATTCGGAAGAAGCGGTAAGCCGTAACGCTGAGATGAACCACCGAACAAACTCATATCGTTAACGGAAGTGAGATCGATCGTCGTCGGCGTCGGCGACTGAAGATTCTGGAAAGTTCTAGGCTTCACGGACCTTAGAAGAAACGCGTTGATAGCTGCTTGATTATGAAACGACTGCTGCTGATGTAGCTGTTGCTGAGCCGCTTGGAAATCTGCTAATGTCCGTTTTCCGGCGATTCCATGGCTGCCGGAGACTCTGTTTCCGATCTGATCGAGGAATATTCCGGGAATCTGGTTCCTATACGTCGACGGCTGAGGATTATTGTTCCCGGCGTTTATGACTGTTCCGGGACCTCCAGGCATAGATCTACCACCGACGCCGAAAAACTCCGGTCCTCCACCGCCGCCGCCGGAGAATCCAGATGCCATTTTTGAAGTTTCTCTCAAAAGCTAAAAGAGATCGGAATTTGAAAGATGAAAATTTACCGAATTTCGATGAAACGCATGATAATATTGGAAAGAAGGAAAGAGAGATTAGATACTCTTTGAGAGAAATCTAGAGAGAGAGAGAGAGAGAGAAAAAAAAGGAAGTTGCTTTCTCTAATGGCATTTTGAGGTGATAGTGACGAAATATAAAAGGAAAGAGAGAAAAGCTTTAAAACCGTCCGATCAGATATTTAAACTTTACCTCTTTACCCTTTAAGAAACAATCGTACGGTGAGGATTGCGATGTAGAGAGAACACACCTGCATTCTGTGTCTTTGTTTTCTTTCACACAGAGCAAAATAGTTTTCGTTTCACCGTTTTCTAACCGAATGTTTTCTCTCTCTCTCACTCCCTGACATGTTATTTACGAAAACACGAGACTAACCTGATCTAAGATTACGACACGTGTCTTTTGATCGTGGTTCTGTGTTCGTTGGATTTTGATTTAGACAGTCTGCTCCGTTATAAACTCTCTCTCTCTCTCTATGTGTGAGTTTGGTTTCATTCAAAAACATTTCCAATACTTGGGGCTTTGTGGAATGTGGATAGCCTCTGTTTCCTCCTTTACTTTTTTTTTTTTTTGTTGTAATTTACTTACACAAATTTACCGGCTAATCTCGCCACGTGTTGGTCACTTACTTGTACTTGCGTTGAACAGTTTTTTTAAAAAAAATATTACTAAGACAAGTTCTAGGATATTTTTGTTACCGTGATTGAATTCGAGTTAGTAAACTACGTTTAAATTAATATCCATTCTGAAGAAAAAAACAAAACAATAACTGTTCTAGATTACGTTCGAGTAATAAATCTTCCATTTATGGTATACTCTAGAATATTTCACAATTGATAAGAAGGTTTTATTAGATGACTATTTATTTTATCAGAAAAATACTTCTCCATCTTTAAATAAAGGTTTTTTAGAGTTTTCACACATATTATTTAACGATCATTCTTCTTCGATCCTATTCATTAGTTAATTAATGTTACCACAATGTTGTTTTTGTTCTTATGATGTTTTAATATTTCAATCATTTTAAAATCGTTTTCTTCTTCACTTTGTACTCATAATAAAACAAAGAAAATTAGTAAATACAATTACACGTAATCTATCTACCTAATACTGTATATATATTGAGGAAATCTCCGGGACCAAAACTAAAACAAAAAAAAAACCTCAATTTTGGTGTATCCTTTGAACTTTAAATAAAGCCCTAAAAAATAGGAGAAAATAACGAAAACATGCCACTTGGGTTTCAAATCAAAGTAGCACCGGATATTCACATGCAAGTGCGATGTTTCCGTTTCGTATCCTTCTTTTTACCTCTTCCAATAATAATACATGAACACTTTCACGATGCAACTTTATTATTCTAGCAAGTAAACTATTTGTTGTCTATCTCTTTTTTACTCTGTCATAAATAATATATAGTTATATACAGTGTTCGACAAAATGGAGTGTTATATATGCAATAAGATATGATCTCTATATCGAAAAAGCATACTAAAATAAAACGAAAATATTACATTTATGATGTTATATTCGTCTCTTATTGTAGAGATTTCATATCATAATTGCAGAGATTAATTTCTAAAATATTAATTAGCACGAAATTTATGCTCTTATGGTTCATAGACATTTAAGAATAAACGATCGCCGGCAATATGATATATAACTCTATATATATATACTCCCTTCGTTTCACAAATAGTGTCGTTTTAAAGTTTTATTTTTGTTTTACAAAAAGTATCGTTTTATATTTTTAATGCAGAATTTTAAATAATATTCCAGTTTTGACCCTATTAATTTAATGTATTAATTAAAGAAAAAAGTTATTTAATACATTAATAAAGGGCAAAGTAGTATTTTTAATAATTTTCTTAATAAGTGTGAAAAATGTCAGAATGACATTCTTTGTGAAACAGAGGGAGTATATATTAATAATTAATACTCATACAGTACGATATCATGAATTTTATAAAGAGTTAATTAATTCAATACCAAAGAATAACTAAAAAATTAACTAAATACAATGGATAACTAAAAATTAAATATATAGGAAAGAGAAAATAAAAAACAACCAAAAATCTCCATTTTCTATTACATATTTACACAAATGCCATTTGTCTGAGATTTTTGTTTTCCGACAAGATATGTCAGTAACACTGTTCATCGCCAGCTTCTGATGATATTGTTCATCATATATTTTTTATCGACAGATACTGTTCATCATCAAAAAGTTATATACAGTTTGAAAATATGGTGGTTAACTATTTGTTTAACATGATAACTACTATATCGCGATAAAATTATATAATTGACATGATAACAAATATATATACATATGATATAGAATAATACAACAACAAGCTTACATTTAGATAAAATGTTAACTTTTAATAGATAACTACTTGTTAACATGTTAACATTAATATCTGATACTAATAACGTGTTAACAATAATATATGAGATTTGTTAACGTGATAACAATAAGATATGATGCTTGTTAACGTGTTAACAATATTATTGTTATTTGTTAACGTGGTAACAAATAATATATGATATTTTGTAACATGTTAACAATGAAATTAATACCTGTTAACGTTGTAATAAAAATAATATTTGCTAATAACAAAACCAATACTTTATACCAATACGGTGACCATTGTGTCATCATCAATGTCACCGGCACTGCACAATCACCATCGTCTACCAGCATAACCAACATGATGGTGGAGTCATATTCGTTGCCGTTGTTTCACTATCGTCGCCGTCGTTATAGCCGTTACCACCTTCACCATGGACTACTGTTTTCACTGTCACTGTCAATATCACCAATTTACACTTCAATCTACTCCATCCTTCATCGTTCTTCTTCTTCTTTTCTTTCTTTTTTTTTCATTTTCTTATAATTGAAGGAAGAGAAAGAGAGAATGTAATAAGATAAAAAAAGAAAAGAGTTAAATGGGGTTTTCCACATGAACAGTGAACAACAAACAGTGTTTAGGAGAGAGAACTAATTATACAATTATCTGTGGGTATATATTGCTATTATTGTTTTATAAAGCTCTCATTTTTTTGGTTCTTTTTTCAAACAATAATTGGTTTTTATAATAGCCCTACCTTCCATAACTTTGCCAAAGACTTAACAATATTACATGTGTGTAGATTAAAAGAAGAAAATGGATGAAAAAAAAAAAACATAAAATAGGTGTCAAATTGCCTATGAGACCAAGGGCCCTCCAAACTTGTAGAAGCATATTGCCACTTTAAACAACTAGTTGGCCCTATCGATAATCCAAAAGCTGCTTGTATTATATTCAAAAGAAAATTTTAAGAAACAATGATAAAATATGATTTGGGGACTAAAAGTTAGGGGTTTGTTCATGCACTTTTCTAGGTTTGAACCACAAATCATGGTTTATATGTCTCTACATGTAAAACTATTATTCACGCGATTGAAAAGTCGATCACATTTCTTCATGCCGATTCTCAGTTTTAATCTTTGAGATTGTTTGTTCTATAACGATCTTATGTATAATTTCACTTCCTTCATGTAACATTGGAATCGGTTCACAACAATCGCTTTTATTCCGATAAAAGTGATTGGAGACAAGGTTTTTTACTTTTCTCACTGACAATCCCATTGTATTATTCTCCATAAGAACCGTTTTCATTACTCACAACACGACTTGGCGTTATATTTATATCGCAACTTTGTGACTAACAAAATGGAACTTGTCACAAGCAATGTTGCCAGTAAGTCACGACTCAGTTGCAAAGCAATTGTAGTTCTTGTATCAGGCATCGTCATCATGAAACGCTTCACAAAGATTTATATGTGTATCTTCATCAATGTGCATTTTATGTGTATCTTCAACCAAAAAGTTCAACCAAAAGATGATATTCACATACACAATTCATAGTAAAATTAAATTGAATAAAAAAAGAATTTAATCAGATATTGAGAATTAATTGGTGAACTCGATAGCTTTTGCTTTCATAATTATTAAGAGGAATACATGAAAAAATTATCTACAAGCTTTCCTGTGATTCTGAATTACTTGCATTTAAAAAAGAGAAAATTGCTGAATGGGATGTTTTTAAGTTTTAAATTTGAGGAATAGGATGTTTTGAAAACCATAGAAGGAAAGGGCTGTTTTTACTGTTTGTCTTCCCACAAGGGCCCTTAGGAAAATTTTATTTTCGGAATTGCCATTATCAAAGTAAAATAACTAAAAATTCCTAATTAAATCCGATTTCGTAAACCGATTACACAAAATTATCAACCGAAGTCCAATATCATAAACCGAAGTAAAACCAAATGTATAATTTATCGACACCCCAACATTTGAAATAAAAATTTAATTTGGGATCCACATCAGGACGTCGTCTATCTAGCATCTCCGACAATCCATCTCCGATTAGCCATCCGATTTACCGTTGTAATGGCGCGGAAAGTAAAAAAATCGTTAAGGCGCAACAACACCATGCCTCCAATTTCGAGGCGAGTGCTCCGGAGTAACTCGAAGACAGCTCCGACGGACCACTCGCCCATGCCGCCCGTGCCACCGCGACGGAGTGACCGGGTTGAACATCCCATTCACTCGAGTCGTCTGAATCCACGCCGGCGGTGTAGAGCCAAAGTACAATTCGCTCCTCTTCTTCTAGAATGGCCTGCTCAGAATTCTAAAAGTAAGTTACATTTATGAACTTCGACCTTGTCTGAACTGTACTGGCGGTTTGTAATTAAAATTAAGATTGAAACGGGCCGTTGATTGGCTTCATTTATGTATTAGTGGTTATGAACTGTAGTACTTATGTCTACATATTGATTTCAAACGGTTGGATTACTCTTATATCATCTAGAAACAGTTACAGAAGTTTTTATAGGAGAGCATACGAATAGGGTAGTTTTCCCAGATATATGTTCTCTCTTTCGAACTCCTTCGAACTCCTTTCCCTCAAACATTTCCCGTGGGTTTGCATTTCACTGTTTATCCAGAATACTATATCTTCTCGTGCATTTTGGAATTGTTGTTTTCGTTCAAATACAGGAATGGAAGACGGAGAACCTTCAAATACAGGCATGAAAGATGGAGAAGCTTCAAATAACCTTTCGGAAAAACTACCAAAAAAAGTCCTCGGCGATGGTTGCTACCCCGTTGGTGCTCGGTTGAACATATATTCAAAGGCCAATGTAATTGGCTTCCTTGTCGAGGCGTTAAAGGGTACTGAAGATCTTGAGAAGCTACTTCATTCCCAGTTTGGGAAGTTATTCCATATACCTGTTGCAAGATGTTGCAACAGCGCCAAACTTGTCCATGCCCTTCTATCACGACAACTTGTGACCACGAAGAAACACGAGATTTGGTTCTTCTTTGGTGGACAGCCTCTGAGATATTCGATACGGGAGTTCAAGGAAATCATTGGATTGAATTGCAATCCCGAACCTGATAGCACAGAAGAAGAAGACGAAGTCGGAAAAACAGGAATCTGGAAAGACCTGTTCGGAAGAGCGAAGGCTATGAACATGTATGATGTGCTTGAAATGCTAAAGGATCCGGATCTACCCCAGTGGAAACGGCTTCCATTGGCCCTAATCGTTCTTGTCGACGGTGTTCTGTTTTGCAATAGCAAAAATCTGGCCCTCACCAAGAAATACGTTGAGATGTTAAGTGACTTGGATAGGTTCATGCTGTATCCATGGGGGAGGGTATCCTTTAACAAAACAGTATCTCGTTTTCAAGCTCCGAAGGCAGTCACGGATGCCGAGAAAAGGGAGAATCCTGTAACATGATTGCGCCGTCAACTTAAACAGAAAACCAGTGCATGCTATTGATTCCCTCTATCACTACAACTCATGGCCCTCCAATCTATACCAATGTTGGTTTCCAAAATTCCTCAACCTGATAACTTGAAGACATTCTTTGAAGATCCGAAGGCTGTCAAAACGTTATCACACTGTTGCATCTTGGGGACATACATGCCGTGGAATCCGACCCTCTGGTAAATTATTTGTAGTATTATATTTAGTACTATTTGTAGTCTTATTTTGTAGTACTTCTCTTAAAAGATAAGTGCTCTGTCATTTTGGTTGGTAATTTTGCAATTGTATTTTTTTGTCTTAGTTGTCTGTGAAACAGATGGTAGTGGATGATGGTGAGAATGACGAACAGAATGAATTGCGTTGGGGAGATGAGGTAGAGGATGCCGAAGTTGCATTCATGCAGGAACTCATGGCCGAGGGGTACAAATTCACACCTTCGGATTTTGCAGTGGCACCGGCACTTATCGTGGATATTAGCGATGCAGAGGACGAGGTTACCAATGAACAGGAACCTGAGCCATCCACCCGACCGAAAAAGAAACAGAAAACTCATCAAACTGAAAAATGTAAGATGCAGAGGAAGAGAGGCAGAGGCAAGAACTCTTCTAATCTATCGGAAGATGAAACACCTGAAAGTGGACAGATTAAAGATCTTAAAAGATGGATAGTACTTCAGAATATTTTGCTCCTTCGTGAGATTAAGACCGAGTTGGACAAGAGATTGGGCGTATACCAAGAGGACGAAGAAGATGACGATGTACACCAGTCAAAAGAAGATGGGGAACAGGATGACGAAGGACAGAATACAAAAAAAGATGGTGAAAAAGCAGATGAAGATGAAGACGAAGCCGAAGATGGAGGGGCACAGTCTAGCGTACGCCATAATGATGGTGTACACCCCGAAGATGGTGTACACCATAAAGAAAGAGATGATGAAGAAGGGACCTCTACTTACTACGGCGGGGACCATTATTCTCCCAGGGACCATGCGTACTTGAAGACTCCAGAAGCTCCGACAATGACCCCTGAACCGGGATAAGCCAATTCAGGAACAACTCGTCCACCTCCTTACTTCGTCATTCCGGATGAAATTCCACCTTCTGGCCTCAACAAGGTGAGCTAATTGTTTAGTCAGCAGCTGACTCTATTAAGTTTCATAACGTGGGTGTAATGTGCTATGTTTTTTCTGACTTATTCAGGTGGATGGTGGTAGAACAAATTTGGTGTCAGGCCCCTTAGTAGTCTACAAACCTCAGACTCCTCACCCATTGAGCTACGCATATAGGAAACATGAAGCGCAGACAGATGCGCAGGATGCACAGGTCAGACATTAAAGTTGTTCATATGATATGGATGTGTATACAGTAGTGTTTAGGTATACGCTAGGTATACGATTGATATGTTATACGCTTTATTGTTACGGTGGTTTGTAAGGTATGGCTAATGAGGACGACTCAAATGCGGGGAAAGATTACCATACTGCGCCTAAGGATGCAAGTGATGCTTCGCAGAAGACCCCTTGTACTCCAAAACCCCCACAAGAAGTTGGGGGATCGTCTGGTGTAAGGAGAACAAGTGGAGGAACAGGAAGAGGACGAAGAGGTAGAGGAACAGGAAGAGGAGGAAGAAGTAGAGGAAAACGCCAACGTGTACGGTCGGACAAGATTCAAGATATTTACACCGCTGATTCAAAGGTGAAAGCTCTATTTGTATCCAGATCGAAAGCTGCGTACAAACCACTCGAAACAATTGACCAAGACCACTTCGAGGCATTTCAGGAGTTATTATCGCGTGAAAGAAACATGTAAGTTATATCGTATTGAAAGCAATTTATCCTTAAACTTTCATTCTAATCAATTACCAATTGCTCTCATTACAGCGACTTTTGCATTGTCACTGGTCATACTGTGAACAATCAATTCTTCCTACAAATTGCGAAGCCTACTGAGTGGGTTAACACGATGGTAAGTATATAGTTAGTACTTACTCAATCTTTAATTATCTGTATTATATGTTATTTATGTTTTGTTTTTCGTCAGCACATGCAAGTCATAATGGTCATGCTTTGGAGACGTAGAGGTGAAATATACTTGAAAGAGAGGGTAGCATTTGTAGACACCTTGTTCATATCCATCATCGGCAACTACTACAACGATTTCATATCGCGAGACAAAAATCAGTATGACTGGGGGAAAACCATTCAGGGCATTGTATTGGGAAAACCAGCAAAGTGGGCTAATCAGCGGCAGAGGCAAATGTTTGTACCGTTTGTGGACGTTGTATACGTCCCCATGAACTGGGGGTCTGAGCATTGGGTGGGCCTTGTAATTGACTTTAAAACGGGCAACATAAAGATTTTGGACTCATTCATCAGTCATAATGATGAAGTGGCTGTGGAGCAGTATATGGCGCCCGTGTGTCAAAGTATGCCATTTATATTGAAGCGTTATTTGGATAGCAAATTAACGGAAGACCTACGCACCACCCCTTACACATGGAGTCGTTTGGAGGGCATATATCAGAACAAAAGATCCGGTGACTGTGGTCCATGTGCGGCCAAATTCTTAGAGATGCATGCTGCAGGCCTTGGAGTGGAGGATATGGGTTTGATAACGGACGATGACGTTGACAGGTTAAGGGAGAAATACGCCATAGACTCATACGAAGAGTTTGTCGGGAATCCGGCTATTGCCAACGCTTAGGACGAATGTTGAAGTTTAATGTTGAACTTGACAATTTATGCAAGGGTTATTTGTTGGATTATATGTTTGATAATGTTTGGATTATGTGTTGAACTTGACAATTTATGCAAGGTTTATTTTTTACTTCCGTACACCTAATAGCGTTTAGTTGTACACCAATATGCATCAAATGGGAGTACATAAAGACAAATTTGTTTATACTTCACATTATTTTAGTATTTATTAATTGTTGTGTGAATACCTTGTTCCCGGCTAAATATGTACCTGTACACCAATATCCATTTAGGTGTACATCAACTGGGTGTACAACAAGGAAATTTATGGTTTATCCACTAATTTTACAAACTCATTTACAATCTTAACGGTAACCGCATTTAATATATACGGTCATTTAGTGGGCTTTTTTAATTATTATATATATGCAACATAAAGAACCGTTCCGCTTCACAAATCCTAAACCGTAGTTATTCCATCTCCATAAACAACTGTTTTCATCACAATTGAACCTCAGAAATTAACTATGGCACCAAAGAGAGGGCGATGTGATGCGGATATCCGTGATTGTCAATCCCCTCTGATGGCGCTTCCCGACGAACTATTGGAGAAGGTTCTCGCATACAGTTGTAACTCCGTCCAACAAATTTTCACACTGAAGCAAGTTTGCAAACGGTTCCAGGCCTGCACTTTAACCAACAATTTTCTAGCATCGGTGATCCCGTGGAATTGGAGATGCCTATTCCCGAAGATTTCGATATGCCTTTTATCGCGTATTGGGAATTTCCCAACTTGTTGAGGACGATGTATGACGCACGCAATCCTGGTTTGCTGTTCATGAAGGGGATGCAAGACTACTTCTGCCGTGGAGACAAATGTGGCATAAAACTCATCAGGGAATCTGCAGATATGGGATACGAAACTGGTATTTACATGTATGACATGTACATGAAAGCAGTGGTCGAAGACCCTGTGGGTTTAGAGTATCTTTCAAAACTAGACAGGGGGGCAATGAGGAGAATAATTCGGAAAATTATTGATGGAGGTGAGCGTGGTTATGTTAATTTGCCAGAAGAGTTCTCGAGGAGGAGATTTGAGACTAATGCTCAGTTTGCCACACTTTGGTTTTGTCGCTGTGGTGTTGCCAATGCTCAACTTGAATGGCATGAAAAATTGTTAAAGGGGCCAAGCATGTGCACGTCGTGTTTCTGGGCACAGGAAACGCAAAAGTTCTTCGTATTTGTTTGGTATGTAGCGCGTTCTAGACCGTCAATGGAAGAATGGTGACTGATTGGTGCAAGTCAACCAGTTTCGGTGTGTACACCTGCGTTGTGTACACCTTGGTGTGTACACCTAAGTTGAGTACACCTCGGCGTTGCTCTTATTTCGTACTTTAAGATTTAAAATTTTATTTAGCCCTACTACGTATGTATGTATGTAGGTGTACTTGGTTTTGCTTTCTATCTATGGATACTTTAATTGTGCTGACTTTATTTAATTTCGGTGGGTGGTAGTGCAAGTTTTTCGAGAACCGTTCTCTTATATCTTTAAAGTCTCAGTTTACCTCTCTGTGTACGCCTAATAACTACAAAAAAAAAAAGAACACCTCAATCTGGACTCAATATGTACACCTAAATTTGTACACCTGAATGTTACAGTTATCACATATTATATATTTCAGTAAACAAACGACATTATCTGTTTTCAGAGAATTTTCGGAGAACATGGATATACATACGACATTATTTATTAAAAGCCTTACCTTACCTATTTCTGTAGGCATATTTTCAAAAAAAATTCATGATTTCGTCTATGTGGACTCAATCTGTACTCTATATCTCGGTTAACGTGATGTTGAGAAAACGTCTGTAATGATGACAAGAAATTTATTTTCAAACAATTATAAAAGGGCTGTCTTGTTAATGAAATTTCGATAATATCATAAATACTAATAGTATTGTCTCAGAAATCATAAATGTATTGTGGTATATCAAAAAGTACATTAAAGCATTCATCAATAAAGTTAATTGGTGAAATTTGATTTGATTTGGTGATTCTTTGTATTTATTGTGGTAATTTAATTTTGCCGGTAAACGAAAAGACACATTTTCGTCTCTTTTCAACGTCTCTCTTCAAAGACAGCTATTCGGCTCTATTAAAACCGCACTACCTCTTTAAATTGAATCCCTTCACCGTAACTGCCTACTTAGAACCATCATAACTTCCTGTTTCGTACCATTTTCAATCATTTCTCCTCTTCCTCATTCCATTTTCTTATCTTTTCTCTTTTCACCGAAATAAACGATGGTTCCAAGGAGAAACAGAGGTGGTGATGCTGATTTTTCCTATCTTCTCTCACTCCCTGATGAATTGCTGGAACAAATTCTGGCCGCTACAAACCCAACTATAAGGGAAATAGCCCGCCTCCGTGCTGTTTGTTCTCGTTTCAACCGTATCGGCACAAGCAGGGGTTTCTATCGAGCCATTGATCTCGCCGAAATCGTGCATGAACAAGCGGCGGTTCCACATTACCCAACGATGATGAGGAGATTCCATGACGCGGGTAATCCAGAGGTTATTTTCGAGAGGGGGATGCAAGCCTACTTTTTCTTCCATGATGGTGAAGGCGTGGAATTGATAAGGGCTGCTGCGGAGGGAGGCTACGACCGAGCCCTTTTTGTGTACGAGATGTGGCTCAGAGCTGTGTCGGAAGACTTCGTCCGTGCAGAGGAGTATTTGGGCAGGCTCACGGTGCAAAACCGGAGGAGGATGAGCCGGTTGTTGCTGGCTGACGTTCCACACGGATGGAATTTCGATTTGCCAGTGGATTTCACTGAGAAAGCGGCTGCCTTTCATCCTAGATTCCTTGCGCTGTACACCTGTCACTGCGGGGTTATCAATTACTGGCTCCAGTGGTTTGCAGAAGACTTTAAGCAGCCAAAGTGCACAACCTGTTTCTGGGCCCAAAAGACCCAAAGGTTCTTCCGCTTCATTGGGAACGTCGTTCCAAGCTGGCCGTTCATGCTCGATTGGTGAAAGCCGTAATCTTAGTATTTGCTTGCATTCGTGTCTCTTTAATTATTTATGTTGTCTAAATGTTCCAAACTACAACTGATGTTTTTCAAATTGCTTTCGGTTTTTAGTTGCAACTCTTACTTTTGTATAAACATAATCTAAGGAGAATTAGTAGTTGATTTTATGATATTTATGGTACTTATGTTCGTAAATGTAGTAATTAATCATCAAGCTCTTAAAATGTTTTGTATCAACATGAAAGTGCCAGGATATCACTTCGTCTAGGCAGTAATTAATTATGTACACCTCTTCAATGTAATTATTTATG